AAAGTTGGTCAAGGCAGGGGGCCCTCCTTCTAGCGCCAAACTGTTGTTGTGTGAAATTAACAACTCAAAATTATAAACAGCTGGATGTGTTTAATCAAAGATTAATATAAAGTTGGATTTTATTGATATGTTCACAAGAGTACAAGAAGTCGGTTTTTTGTTCTTGACCGAGATCATTTCAAGTCCATATACAATGTGCGAAAGAGATTCCCCTAGAGGATCCCCCGTACAACCATAAATTCTGCTATTTATAGTTCGGTTGTTTTTGTCTTTTTTGTCCGAGGTAGATAAGATCGCATTTAATGTTGAGCAGCTTCAATTAAATGGTGTGTAGCAGAATGAGGAAACATCAATGATTGATGTTTGTTTTGATGGCCCAATTGAATGTGTACAGCTCCTTTTGCTTGAAAATTCGATCTTCTCGGATGTCGGATGAATGGATAATCTTTTGTAGATATACATTGGTGAAGTCGGTTGTCGGTGGTTGTCGGCTTCTGTTAGATGATTTCTTTGTTGATTATCTAGATGTCGGTTTGACTGTCTTGAAATCGGTGATCAACATATCTAACTGGTACCGACTTGAATTAAGTTTAGCCATTTCTGAAGAATTATTAATCGAACAAAACAATTAATCTTCGGCTCTAACCTCATGAAACCAAGTCGGTTATCAACAATAAACTAACTCATCTAAAACGAATGGGGCGCTACAATTTATACGATTCATGGCAATAAAAGGGCTTCGACAAAGATAGACGAATGTCAATACCACGAGGGTTTGAGAATTAAACCAAGGATCAAAATCACACGACTTTAACAACAAAACGGCAGTTTAGAGAGTTCCAATTTTCACGAAAATAACTAAATGAAAGCCAACAAAAACAAAATGAACCAAGATATTCCAACCACAACAATTGATTTCGATTAAACCAACGAAAATAAATTAAACAGGGGAGATCCGAAAGTCACCAGACTTCGGGAATCTACACGAAAAATTATCTAATCGGATTGAATAGCTAACATGGACACCAATCCTTCGGATGTTCTTGGATGAAGGCTCTCGACAATGGTTGCAGTATGCCGAGAGGAACGCCGGGCAAGGAGGAATTTTTCTATGTTTTGTGAGGGGTTTTTTTTTTTCAGAATTTTTTTAAGGGAAAAATAGACTAAGGGCCGTGCATAAAAGTGAGGAGGAAGTATAAAATTATGTTAAGGCAATAATGAGGAGAATTCCCCTCCCGCTTTGGCTATACAAGGAATAAGGTGAAGGGAATTAATGCATATTAATTGTGATTTATAGTACCATAGTTGAGTGTGTCAGTGACCGACGGTTCGATTGGGAGGAGCCGAGCACTAAAGAGGGGAGAAACGGCTGGGAAAATACTTGCCAAAAGTACATCCTCAAGATTTGAAATTTAAACATTTTCTCACCATTTGCATGAGCATGGCCGAGGGAAAAATATACAAGGCATTAGGGCGGATTTTTCTCTCACAACTTGGGCCAAAATATTGATCAAAGGGTCATTAAGCTGAAGATGGTCCAAGTTCAAAGATTCGAGAAAATAATTGACAACTGCTCGAAAATCAATGTACGCGATTGAACGTGAATTGCTGAACGGATCAATTAATAAATTAAATTATGTCTAACCAAGCCATACACATAATATAAACATAAGGATAAGAGCAATCACATAAAAATAAAACGAGCACATAATAGTTATCGAATGCAAGCAAATAAAATGAAATAGAAGCAAACAATAATAAAATAAAGTACTGCAAGCAATTCATAAGTCAAGCCATGCATATAAGAATAATATTCAAGCTTTGCACATAAAATAAGATAATAACAACACGTAAATCAAATAAAATGCAGATAATTTTAATAAAATTCGAGAAATTATGTAAATCGAAAGGGGCTCTACACATAACATCAATGTTGCTATTCTAAATGACAACTTTAGCTAAATGTCTATATAAACTAATCTATATCTATATCTATATCTATATAATGGACAAATCCTTATTCCCATAATTGGCATGATTTTAGGCGAGAAATTTTTTCGTCTATATTTGACATTTAATTAATTTATTTATTAGCAAATTTTATGCATAAAAACCATATTTAATTTTTGTACACTCAATGACTAAAATTGAAATTTCGACCATAGATTTATTAGATATATTTTCAATAATATCTTATATTAATTTAATAGTAATTTAGTGACACAATTCAAAAAATTATTATGAAAATTGAGTTGATTAAATATATTATCATCTATGGTTGTAGGTATTAATTTAATTAATTATATTCACCATTCAGAAGTACTTAAAATATTTAATAAAATAATCAGAATAACTGTGTTTAAAGCATACTAACTTGATAAATAATTTGAAATATTAAATAAAAATTTCTTAAATGTAATCAATTTAACTATAAAAAGATATATCCCCATTGAATATATAATATGCAGTGATAATACTATTGAAAACTTAAATAATATACTAATAAAAATAAAATATGATGGTCCAACTCATAATTATAAATTTCACATTATAAGTATCTATGTATATTAAAAAACTATTCAATTGTTAAAATATATGTTTTTTCTTATTTACTATTTATAAATGAAAAATAAGTTAATAAAATAGCAATATATAATAATTCGAATTATGGCACTTAGTAATTATGAAAATATATAATATATCTAAATATTCGAACATAGATACTATGTAACTCATTATATAGGTTGAAAAAATGGAGCAAAGAAATAAATATAAATAAAAAAAGAAAACATAAAAATAAAATATTTAACCATTAAAAAAATTTGTGTATTGCATAAGGATTAAAGTTACTAAAAATTAAAATTTATCTATCAAAATTCTTAACATTTAATGCACTTAATAATTATAGCGGAAAATAAATATTATGGGTTAAACGTTGGTCAATTATCAAACAACATGCAAATTATGAATTGTTGAAAAAAATTATAAGACTATGATACACGACAATTTTATAACTACATACAAGTAATTTGTATGCAAATATCATATAATCTTATACATTTATAATATTTTATAAATTAATAAATATTAAAATTTATATATTAAACTTGAAAACATAAGAGGCTGAAATTTAAATTACCAGAAGAGTTTAAAAACATTCGACCGAGTTTTTGAGGTAAATAACAGCGATGAAGCAGCATGCTACAAAAAGGTTTCAATGTTTAAACACAACCTTATGATTTTTCACAAAAATTTCTGTAACGCCCCGTTATTTTAAAAGAAGTTTCCAAGTTTTAAAGGAAGAAAAAGTCAATTTCTCTTTTTTTTTTTCAAAAATATATGTAAATTATTACTAATTTTTTCAAGAACAAATTTTTATTTTAAAACATTAAATGGGCATTACTCAAAATCATTTTGTCTTATCATCCACACATTCAATTCAATGGAAAGGCATTCTCCAAGCACTTCAATACCAAGGCATAAGTTAATAATCAACTCATATAAATTTCTCAAACATCAGTCCAAACTTAGTCAATCGTTACATAGTTCAATAAAACATAATTCAAAGCAGTACAAGTTTAAGTCTATGGAAGCAAAATGAAATAGTTTTTTTAAAATTGACCACCACCCGTCTCTCCATCATTACCACTGACAGCTTCATAATCTGAAAGGGGTGTTGTGGGGGTGAGCAAACCACTAGCTCACTACTATGCACATCAATTCAATATAATAACAGTTAGTTGGATCACAACATGAACATGAATCAATAATAATATCACATCTTCTATCAATCATATAATACTCATGTGAACATCTATATAAGCCACTGAAGGTCGAAACCGTACACAACAATGGGAGTACATGTCGAACGTCGAAACCGCACACATCGAAGGTTACATGGTTCACACGCATGCATTAGTCATAAAATCTAGCAATTATAAAGAATTATGATGTAGTAATTTAGAAACATCCACCTGTCCGGATAGACGGAAAGGACGCTACGATCGAGCGGTAGATATGAGGCTCAACTCCTCAGCTATCACGTTGCTCCCTTGGCTGGGTTCGCCTATGACCCGAATTTCTTCATCCACCAATGGCTCATGACACGCCTCTAAGGGCACCTCGCTATTCTCCCATTCCTTGCCAAGGCTAGCAACAAAATCATAGAAGTTGATTGGCGGGGTTCCAAGAAAGACTCTCGGGTTCTTCCTCAGAAAATCCTCGCGTATTCTTTCACCTACTGACTTCTACGGCGGGGACAAGACTTCTAGGAGTTTATCCCCGTCATCATCATGAGAGACACCAAGGCCTCCCCTCTCTCACATGAAGACCCTGAATTCGAGAACTTCTAGAACACTGCTCCTAAAGTCGAGAGGACGTTTAGGTTTGAAATCCCAAAACTCCTTTTCTTTCTTTCGCGTTTCTTCAAATGTTCGAAGTAAGAAGCTATCGAGGTCTGATCTCGATTCACTACTCGAACTAACCGGCTGCATCTCGCATGATGAGATCTCACAAGACTCTAAGGATGAAAGTTCGGCTCTTTGAATGAAACCCGCAAAAAGAATCGATCTGTATGGCCTCGGGCGGCTTCTCGCTCGGCCTCGGCTCAAGTCTTACGGTTGGGCACGGTTGAACTCTCGTGGCGGATCGCGGTGGTGGCTCGGTTCAGCGAATAGGTCGTGGCGTCAGGGGCTACTCGTGTGTACGGAGGACGGCGGCTTTTCGCGTGGGGTTTGCGGGGTTCACGACGGCGAACGAGGCTGCTTTGACGGTTCGCGACGGGCTGAGGCACAGTTTCCTTCGCGGTTGGGGTTCGATGACGGCGGACAGGTCGACTTGTGGATGGCACAACCCACGAACGGGGAGGACGCACAGACGGCAATGGTGAGGCGAAGGTGGCTCGCTGCGGCGCTGAAGCGAGTGATCGGAGGGTGCGACTGCTATCCGCTGTTGGACAATGATGGCGACGAGGAATGGCTGGGACAGTGCTGCGGGCTTCACGGCTGATGAAGGCGGGGCTGCACCACTTGCTCGCTCGAACGGAGGTGATGGAAATGGACGTCGCGACACGGCGGAGTGACCCAACAGTTTAATGGCGTGAAGCAGCTGTGGCGAGGTGGTCTGTCGAGAAGAACGAGGCGATGGTGAAAGGATTTCACGCGACCTCGTGCAGAGGGGTTGATGATCTTCGGTTAAAAAAAAAAATGAGAGGAATGAGGAGAATATCTTGTGAAAGAAACATGTGTGAGGGAAAGCGGAAAAATAAAGAATTTATCTTAACTTGAGGCAAAAGAAAAATCAATATAATTGGAGATATATTGGGGATGATCAAAAATCATACCAAAAATAAGCCATATAAATGGCATGGAATATCTTTGATGGCCGAACTTAGAGCTCCAAAAGGGGTGATTAAACTTACTAAAATGCCATCTCTCATCCAAGATTTAAAATGCAAAAAGGGTGCCCAAGAAAAATTGAGGCTTAAAAGGAGACGGATAAAATCGTACAAATGGCTAAAAATATGTAAGAAATGGGTCGAGCCCAATGTTCACGAGAATATTGAAAACGGCTCAAAAATGATTCTACGTGGTTTCACTGGAAGTTCCAAATGATTCGACGACCGATGAATAAAATGAAGGTCAATGAGCGAACGATCAACGATTGACAAGAAATAAAATATTTGAACGACGAATGCTCGGGCGAACCAAACAAAAGTCGACGAACGAACTTAAATCGAACAAGGACGGGCGAATGATTTACCATCGACGAGAATAATAGATAACTCCACTAATAAGATTAATAGACGGAGCCATCCAATCAGTTGAAATAACTTAAACGAAGGCTCGAGATTCGAAAATAATACAAGTAGACGATAATGCCTACGAAATCGATCGACACGAAAGATCACCAAGACGAGGATATCTAAAAATAATCCGCTTGAGCTAAAACGAGGATTTTCGCCAAGCTAAAATACCTAATATATAAACAAGGCAAAAACCTAAAATACGCTAACTCATCTAAAACGAATGGGGCGCTACAATTTCTACGATTCATGGAAATAAACGGGCTTCGACAAAGATAGACGAATGCCAATACCACGAGGGTTTGAAAATTAAACCAAGGATCAAAATCACACGACTTCAACAACAAAATGGCAGTTTAGAGAGTTCCAATTTTCACGTAATTAACTAAATGAAAGCCAACACAAACAAACTGAACAAAGATATTCCAACCACAACAATTGATTCGATTAAACCAACGAAAATAAATTAAACAGGGGAGATCCGAAAGTCACCAGACTTCGGGAATCTACACGAAAAATTATTGAATCGGATTGAATAGCTAACGTGGACACCAATCCTTCGGATGTTCTTGGATGAAGGCTCTCGACAATGGTTGCAGTATGCCGAGAGGAACGCCGGGCAAGGGAGGAATTTTTCTATGTTTTGAGAGGGTTTTTTTTTTTCAGAATTTTTTTAAGGGAAGAATAGATTAAGGGCCGTGCATAAAAGTGAGGAGGAAGAATAAGAATATGTTAAGGCAATAATGAGGAGTATTCCCCTCCCACTTTGGCTATACAAGGAATAAGGTGAAGGAAATTAATGCATATTAATTGTGATTTATAGTACCATAGTAGAGTGTCCCAGCGACCGACGGTTCGATTGGGAGGAGCCGAGCACTAAAGAGGGGAGAAACGGCTGGGAGAATACTTGCCAAAAGTACATCCTCAAGATTTGAAATTTAAATATTTTCTCACCATTTGCATGAGCATGGCCGAGGGAAAAATATACAAGGCATTAGGGCGGATTTTTCTCTCACAACTTGGGCCAAAATATTGATCAAAGGGTCATTAAGCCGAAGATGGTCCAAGTTCAAAGATTCGAGAAGAATATTGACAACTGCTGGAAAATAAATGTACGCGATTGAACGACGAATTGCCGAAATAAACGTATAAATTAAATTATTTCTAACCAAGCCATACACATAATATAAACATAAGGATAAGAGCAATCACATAAAAATAAAACGAGCACATAATAGTAATCGAATGCAAGCAAATAAGATGAAATAGAAGCAAGCAATAATAAAATAAAAAAAAAAAGCAAACAATTTATAAGTCAAGCCATGCATATAAGGATAATATTCAAGCTTTGCACATAAAATAAGATAATAGCAGCACGTAATTCAAATAAAATGCAGATAATTAAAATAAAATTCAAAAAATTATGTAAATCGAAAGGGGCACTACACATAACATCAATGTTGCTATTAAATGACAACTTTAGATAAATGTCTATATAAACTAATCTATATCTATATAATGGACAAATCCTTATTCCCATAATTGGCATGATTTTAGGAGAGAAATTTTTTCGTCTATATTTGACATTTAATTAATATTTATTTATTAGCAAATTTATGCGTAAAACACATATTTAATTTTTGTACACTCAATGACTAAAATTGAAATTTTGACCATAGATTTATTAGATATATTTTCAATGATATCTTATATTAATTTAATAGTAATTTAGTGACACAATTCAAAAAATTATTATGAAAATTGAGTTGATTAAATATATTATCATCTATGGTTGTAGGTATTAATTTAATTAATTATATTCACCATTCAGAAGTATTTAAAATATTTAATAAAATAATCAGAATAATTGTGTTTAAAGCATACTAACTTGATAAATAATTTGAAATATTAAATAAAAATTTCTTAAATGTAATAAATTTAACTATAAAAAGATATATCCCCATTGAATATATAATATGCAGTGATAATACTATTGAAAACTTAAATAATATACTAATAAAAATAAAATTTGATGGTCCAACTCAGAATTATAAATTTCACCTTATAAGTATCTATGTATATTAAAAAACTATTCAATTGTTAAAATATATATTTTTTCTTATTTACTATTTATAAATGAAAAATAAGTTAATAAAATAGCAATATATAATAATTCAAATTATAGCACTTAGTAATTATGAAAATATATAATATATCTAAATATTCGAATATAGATACTATGTAACTCATTATATAGGTTGAAAAAATAGATCAAAGAAATAAATATAAATAAAAAATGAAAACATAAAAATAAAATATTTAACCATTAAAAAAATTTGTGTATTTCATAAGGACTAAAGTTAATAAAAATTAAAATTTATCTATCAAAATTCTTAACATTTAATGCACTTAATAATTATAGCGGAAGATAAATATTATGGGTTAAACGTTGGTCAATTATCAAACAACATGCAAATTATGAATTGTTGAAAAAAATTATAAGACTATGATACACGACAATTTTATAACTACGTAGAAGTAATTTGTATGCAAATATCATATAATCTTATACATTAATAATATTTTATAAACTTATAAATATTAAAATTTATATATTAAATAGACAAAATATACAAAATATATATATATATAGAAATTATCAATCATAATAAATAAATAAATGTCATATTATTACTGAATAAAATATTGAGAATAATATAATTTCATAATATTTAAATAATTTATTTATTTTTTTTGTAATGTACCCCGTGCATCGCATGGGTATCAACACTAGTAATAGTTTAATCGATTTTTCCATCTATACTATGTTTTCTACTTAAAAAAAAAAAGGAAAGAAAGAAAAGAAAAATTGTAGGACACAAACTCAGTGGAAAATTTTGCACCACGTAGTTGACGACGTCGGGAAAATCTTCCACAGTTTCTCTACGTCATTAGCTTCAATGATTAGGTATTAAAAATAGAAAAAAGAAAAGATTACATAGATAAATCAATAGTATATAAGTAGGAAGAGACATAATTGATCGAAAAAAAAAATGTAAAATATATTATATGTAATGACAATAATTGTAACCCTATTATACAATGTGATAAACAAATATTTTATATATTATTACACACGCAATGATCACACTAGTCGAAATAATATTGTCACTGCTAAATTATATATAACATTTTAGCACAATTCCTAATTTACAACATGTTCCCTACTGCATCCTTACTATAAGTGTGTGTGTTTTGTGCATAAATGTATCTTGTATGGATAGCCACCACATCATCTGTCAATAAGCTAGGACGTGTTTATCACTCTTAAACAAATGGAACTGAGTTTCTCGACATTTGGGGCCATTAATGCCATTATTGCTTCCTTTCTGGTCTTATAATATTACCTGGGCTGGTCAAGATCAACCACCACACACAAATCTCCACCAGAAGCCGGCGGGGCAAGGCTCTTGACGGGCCATCTCCACTTGATGTCCCCTGCTGGCGGCCTCCCCCACTTCAAACTCGCAGCCCTATCCGATAAACACAGCCCAATCTTAACTATCCGTCTGGGACTTAAACGGCTGCATTGGTGGAGGGAGAAGACGCCGTGACCGCGAACCTGCCGCTGCATTCCCCGGAAATGAAGAAGACGAAGAAGGTGAGATTTTTTATTTAACTACAAATATATATTATTTTTGTTTGTTTTTATTTATTTGTCCGGTCGAATTACTGATTTTTTACAAAAATTAATTAATTAGGTGGACAAGAAGAAGAACCAGTCACGCCTGGACCGACTGCAGGATCGTCTTCTTCGGTACCGGGGCCTCGGAGAGGGTCCCGAAATCGTAGGGCTAAGGTTGCATTTACTCCTAGTTAGTTAGTTTGTTTTGTATTTTGTGATTTTGTGGACATTTTCTTTTTTTTTTTTCGTACTCGATTTTCAGATATTTATTTTTGATGGTTTTGTATACATTTTTGTGGTTCATTTTTTTTATCGGTAATTGTAGTTGACTTTTTTTATATAGTGTTTTGTGTATGTATGTATGAATGGTAGATTTATAATTTGACGAAGGAATTGATTGATATTAAAGTGATATTATTTCATGTTCAAAATGTTAAATCAATATTTATAAAAAACCTTTATATTGAAGGATAAGAATAAAAATCCAGCTAAAATAAACGCAATTGCTGATAAAATAAGTTCGTGAGCATCAAAGAGTCGAGCTTAACAAATAAAAAAAAACAAAAAAAAAAATACAAGAAACACGGATTCTTAAAATCCGTGTCTCTTTAAACACGGATTATGAAAATCCGTGTTACCTAACACGTTATTTCAAAATCCGTTTTCACTTGACTTAATTAAGGGTAATCACGTCATTAAGAAAACACGGATTTTCAAAATCCGTGTTTTGGTCAAAATAAGTCAAACACGGATTTTGAGAATCCGCGTTTCAGTCAAAACTAGTCAAACGCGGATTTTCAGAATCCGCGCGTTTTAGATTTGTCCACATCCTTTTTTTTTTATTTATTTTTGTCCACAGAATTTTTTTTTATTTGATTTAAATAAATGATTCGTGTTTTGTGCATAAATGTATCATCTATGGATAGCCACCACATCATCTGTCAATAAGCTAGGACGTGTTTATCACTCTTAAACAAATGGAACTGAGTTTGTCAACATTTGGGGCCATTATTGCTTCCTTTCTGGTCTTATACTATTACCTGAGCTGGTCAAGATCAACCACCACACACAAATCTCCACCAGAAGCCGGCGGGGCAAGGCTCTTGACGGGCCATCTCCACTTGATGTCCCCTGCTGGCGGCCTCCCCCACTTCAAACTCGCAGCCCTATCCGATAAACACGGCCCAATCTTCACTATCCGTCTGGGACTTAAACGGGCCGTGGTCATCAGCAGCTGGGAGCTTGCCAAGCACGTGTTCACAACCTGCGACGTGGCAGTCTCGTCCCGCCCGAAGCTCCGGGCAAGCAAGCACCTGAGCCACGACTACGCCATGTTCGCATATTCCCCGTACGGCCCTTTCTGGCGGAAGATGCGAAAACTCGTCTCGGTCGAGCTCCTTTCACTCCATCAGGTCGAGATGCAGAGTGACGTGCGCGTGTCCGAGACGGCTCGATCCGTGGACGAGCTGTTTCGGTCGGGAAGGGCTTTGGTGGACATGAAAAAGTGGTTTGGAGATTTGAATCTGAACGTGGTGCTCGGGATAGTTGCTGGGAAGCGTTTTAAGGATGAGACGGGGAAGTGTAAGCGGGTGATGAGGGATTTTTTTGAGCTGGCGGGGATGTTTGTTGCCGCTGATGCGCTGCCTTATCTGGCGTGGCTGGATATTGGTGGGCACGAGAAGAGGATGAAGGAAAATGCGAAGGAGTTGGATGGGATTGTAGGTGAATGGCTCGCGGAACATAGGGAGAAAGAGTGTTCTGGTGAGGATGATAGGCCGCGGGATTTTATGGATGTCATGGTATCTGTTACGAGAGGTGGTCGACGACTTCATAGTGAATATGATGATGATACCATCATCAAAGCTACTTGCGAGGTACTTACCCCCCAACTATTTCATCTTCCTCAGGAACTACTATTTACATATATATATATATATACTAGTAAAGTTTTTTTTTTTTTGGATTAAGTTTAATAAAATAAATTAATTAATAGCAAGAAAATTGCTTTCAATATTATCTACATAACTGATGAAACTAGTTCCTATATTCCACTTAACTGATAAAGAATATAATAATCGAATTATGTCATAAATTAGAATAATAACAATGAAAAAGCTTTCAGTCTCTGTTAAATAATACTCTATATTTATATTAGCTATAATGACATACGGTGGCATCCACCACCTCATCTATATTAGGGAGTTGGTAGCTATTTTTGGGACATGCTTTGTTTAAGTGAATGAAAGTAACACGCATTAAGAATTTTCTTATACTAGTATTCGATCTTGTACACATGAATAAAGGGAAACAAAAATTTATATATTATATTTATATGTACGCATATGATATTCAAAATTTAAATTTGATAAAGTGTGTATTATATTTCAATTTTTTACTATATGTAAATGTATAATATAAATATAAATTATTTAACTTCTATATAAATCAATTTTCCGTTTCTTTTTTTTTTATTATTGTATAACTATAATGCAAAATAGGAATATTAGCTGTAAAATAATTTAATATTGTATATTCAGAATATTTAAAATCTTGTAAACTGTTACCGAACAAATAATAATAATAATAATAATAATAAAGTTTTACTTTTGTAACTATCATTTGAATGCTGGCTATGATTTACAATAATTAATGTGCAGGCTATGATTGTGGGTGGGGTTGATACCATCACCGTGATGTTAGTATGGGCACTTTCCCTCCTACTCAACAACCGACATGCCCTAAAAAAGGCTCAGGAAGAGCTCGACATACAAGTGGGTAAAGAAAGACAAGTGAATGAATCGGATATCCACAATCTACTCTATCTCCAAGCAGTCACCAAAGAGACCCTAAGATTATACCCTGCAGGCCCACTTGGCAGCCCACGTGAGTTTTCCAAGGACTGTAGCGTCAGAGGCTACCATATCCCTAGAGGGACATGGCTCATGGTCAACATATGGAAATTGCATCGGGACCCACAAGTATGGGGGCCCGATGTGTTGGAGTTCAAGCCCGAGAGGTTTCTAAGCACGCACAACCATTTGGACATTCGGGGCCAAGATTTCGAGTTCATCCCATTTGGCGCGGGCAGGAGGATATGCCCGGGTTTCAACTTCGCCTTGCAGATGATGAACTTTGTGTTGGCCAACTTGTTGCACACGTTTGACTTTTGGACTGTGGCGGACGAGGGGATTGATATGACCGAGAGTGTAGGGATGACCAACATGAAAGCCACGCCACTTGATGTTTTTGTTGCCCCAAGGATATCTCCAAGTCCATGGGTTTCAAACTAATTAAGGGGTCTATCTGTGCATGGTGTTTGTAATGCATTTGAAGTATGATGTGTGTAATAATGGACTGGTTGATCAGAATTGTACTGTTTGTGTAATATTTTGTTTTCTGTTTGTTGCTTACACCCCCATTGATCTCTTTCTGGTTGCGCCTTGTAACCTGCCAAATAATTAAGTTAAACATGGCCCATGTCTGTTAAATAAGTTAAGCATGGTGCATATATGATCTACATGCATCAAATCGAGTAAGTCAAAATTGAGGGAAAAGAATTTATGTTATATTCCACTTAGTTGAATAGTTGACTACTAATAACAATCAGTCTTATTAAATTGGGCTAGGGATGAAAGATCAACGGCTATTGAACCTAGCCTTGCTTGCTTATGAAATTAGTCTGGACCCAAAGCGCGCCATAAGCAGGGAAAGCCAAGATGAAACCCAAGTGGGGTTCCATTCCAAAACCAATTGGTGGAATGAGGAGTTGCCCATTAGACTTATAAGGTGGGTCTATTTTCCATGTATAAAAGATGTGGGACAACTCACAAATGATATTCTAACACGCCCCCTCACTTGTAAGTTCTTAATAACAAGCCCAAGCCCATATACAGAGCTGGGTGCCCCAAGCCCTACTAGAAACAGGCTTCAATAAATGGGTACGTGGGCCCAAGCCCTACAGGCTCCCATAAACGGGTACGTGGGCCCAAGCCCTACTAGAAACAGGCTCCCATAAATAGGTACGTAGGGAAAAACGGGTATGTTATCACACGATCCCACATAGAACCAACTCTGATACCATGTAAGAAACGGGGGGAAAAAGGGGTGCGGTCCCACGTACATGAAGCGCACCATAAGCAAGGAAAGTTCAGATGAAACCAAAGTGGGGTTCCATCCTAAAACCAATTAGTGGAAGGAGAAGTAACTCATTAGACTTATAAGGTGGGTCAATTTTCCTTATGTAAACGATGTGGGACAACTCACAAGTGATATTCTAACACTCTGGTGTCGGGTGATTCGGGCTAAGTACAAGCTAGAGCCAACAATGATGGGGGCGGATTTTGAGTTTCCTCAAGGCTCCACGGTTCTCCGAGCTATCCGAGATGTGTGGAGGGCCACACTTGCGGGTTGTAGGTGGTCTGTAGGGAATGGTTGCACGACTCGTTTTTGGTGGGATAAGTGGTTGCACTGTGAGACTCCGTTGATACAGAAGGCGACAGGCCCGGTGCTAGATGTTTGTTACGTCGGGAGGTGGCTAGAATTGGCCATTATCTCAAAACCTCCTACCGGCCATGAGCTTGCTGCGGATAGACGCGACTATGGTGCCACACGCGAATGGCGGGGAGGACGATTTGTACTGGGGGCTGACGACGGACGGGAAATTTTCTACAAAGTTTGCATACTCGGCATTATTACCGTCATCGGGCCGCCCAAAGCGGGGGTTATGGAAAGTGATATGGTGTCACACCCCGCCTCACTACTAGCTTTGAAAAATCAGAGTAAAATTTTTATTTTTAATTTTCGAAAGAATGTGCGAGCTGGGTTTTCGAAAATTCTGACTTATTGCGGGATGTGGCAGATAAAAACTTAAACTGAACTCGGGCTTGCCCGCAGACATAATAAAAACATGCAACCAAACTGTCCGCTCGCGGATTATGGAATTATACATGCGTAGTCTGTACTGTCTCGCACTGTCTAGAAAACTCGCTGGCGGAAGCATCCGAAATACGAATACATAACATGCGTACATAAACTGAATAAAATACACATGATCATAAATCTAGGACATAAAAATGCTGGTAAAATATGTCCGACTCTCATGACCACGCTGCGCCACATCTGTGCTCATCCGGCACGCTCGACTCCGCCTCCTGAAAAACATAATGGGGGCGTGAGCAAACCACTATGCTCCGCAAAGACCAGTACTGAACAAAACATCATCTATAATAACGTATCATGAAACATAAATATATAAGAGCTGAAACTGTAAACAAATCTCTGATGTCTGTTCTGATCTGTGGTCAAAAGACCCTCGGCCGTAGCCGCTCGTGTGCACACGCCGATGGGGTATAAAGGGCCTCGCCCCTCCCAACGGTCATCAGGTGGGTATAAAGGCCTCGGCCACTCAACCCGGAACTAAACTGTCTCAAACATACCTCTGCCATGGTACAGATATAATCTATGATGTGACATCCAGTACATGACCCCCACCTGAAAAACTTGGAATCTGATATGCAAGTGCGGATGCTGGAGTAGCGGTCGGAGGCTCGACTCTCCTTAGGCTACATAAATATTTAAGTAAAATAATGCTAAGTATCATACTCGGAATAATTAATTATATGCTAAAATGCTCGGTTTTATCTGCTCAATTTAACTGGACTGGACTGGCTTAGAAAAATACTAAAATTCCGTAAAAATAGACTCGGACCGAAAATCACGAATCAAAACGGACTCGAACCACCGGTCAGGGCGGGAAGGTGACTCTCTCTAGCCACTTAACTTATACTAAGCCATGTCTACTCATGAAGCTCAATTAAACCAAGATTCTACATTTATCTAAAATTTAAACCGAACATAATTGAGTTCTTAACCTCATGAATTTTTAAAATTCACACAAGTCTCTAAAAATTACTAAACTTAGCAGTTAAATAGTATACATTGACATGTACTTGCTGTCCAAATTTCATGTCAATAGGACTTCATTTGCTTATTAAACTCATAACTTAAGCATAATGTAAAATTCACTTATATACATGCGCATATTGCAATAATTTTGTAAAATCACATGATCAACATTTTAAGCTCAAACTCGGTCACAATGTTCACCACTCATAAGAGGATTTTACATAAAATTTTCACATTCATATCTTGCATGTGGACAGAGCACTCTTGCACATAAAATTAGTTCGACACGCATGCGATCTAAAAATTTTAACTCCTTCATTTCTTATGATAAAATCATGAAATTTGGTATGCTGGCTCTCAACTCATATATAAATATGTCCATAAAATTTCATAATTTTATCCTGAGTATAACTCGAGTTCTACGCGTTTGAAGTCGCAACTGAAATTCGCGCATGTAAAGTTCATCCTGCATGTTTAACTTTAAAAATCAAGAACTCGAGTTATACTAAGCCAATTGACCTAATTCTTGATCCTATGAACTTCTATCTTCCACAAGAAATAGAGATAAAATTCGCACATTCCCAGATTTTTCAGAGCATAGGTAAAAACGTTCGAAAACATAGCATATAAAACATGCAAGTGAGCTGGGAGCATTTATACATTTTGCATGCTTATATACCCTTCATAACTGAATATATATAGCAGATATCTATACCAATAAACTCCTCATCTCATCTATATTATGATTACAAAAAGATGTAAGCACACCAACCTCTTAATCTTGAAGAAAAATGCAAAAGAAGTTGGGTATGCTCGGTTCTTAAATGGCTGCGTCTTCTTGCTTCCTTTGGCTTGAATCCTTGAGGTTGCTGGCACTAAAAGCTTCTAGGAATATAGGGGGATGCTGGAGGATGATTATATAATTGGGGTTCTCGAAAAAAACTTGCTATAAGTCAAGAACACTCAACAACAATGCACTTGGGCAAGTTGTTTTCTTCTTGGCTTTCTTGTTTTTTGCTCTCTACTTTGCTGTTATTGAGGGAGTTGTGCTCGAATTTTCTAAGTGTTTGAGAGGTAACAAATGAGGTATCAAGGTGGCTGAAGAGGGCTTATAAATATGGTCTAGAGGGCTTATAAATATGGTCTTAGGGGCGTGAGAAAATAGGCATGAAAGTGGATCAAAATGGGAGACAAATTTGAAGACAAGGCCTTACAATTACTAACTCCTATGCACAACACATGATAGTGGAGCATTAAGACCTTGAAAGTGCCGAGTAAATGGGCTGTAAAGGAGCTGGTGAAGTGCCTTGGTCATGCACATGGTGGTGAGAGGAATGATGGACATGTTCTTACACATAGCATTAAACAAATGCAAGCCCATGATGGAGTATTTGGAATAGAAAATGTCTAATTAAGGTTTGACTTTGTCTAATGGTTCTTAAACTTAATTAGGCCTTAAAAGTCCACCTAAGACCAGCTTAACATTCGCATGAAATAAGCATAAGGAAATGAAATGGTTAACATGAACCTTAGGCTCGGCAAAGGCTATGATAGACTCAACGCGCGCGTGGGTGTGGGCACGACTAGGGCTCGATTTAAAATGATCAATACTTATACTTTGATATTTATATATACTTAGAAAAATATTCTAAGTACAAAAATACCAATATTTGGCTATGCTCGGGATTTACTCGAAATTTAACTCGGATCCAAACTAGGGTTCGGAGTCGATAAATTCTCGAATTGACTTGCTATTATTTAATAACCCAAATTAATGGATTAATCTTAACTTATACTTGAGAAAGAATTATTCAAAGAATAATTTATCATATTTGAGCATTTAGCATAAATAATATAACTCGATAATTTTTGAAAATTACGGATTTCACTTACAGTCGAGCAGTGAAACCGTTCTGAATATTATTACTGTTTTGGGGCGTTACATATGGCAATGAGTGGGGTCGCAGAGGGTCTGCCATTTCCTCTGGCTTGCAGTTCGTGATTGCTTATTAACTAATGCAAATCGCTACCGCTGATACATGGTCATGAGTGCGACGTGCATGCTGTGTTTGAGGGCCTGCGAATCAACAATTCACGTCTTACAAAATTGTCATGTGGCGGCCCAAACCTGGAAGAACTCTGTGGAATGAGTTCTTTTCGTTGGAGCTTCGAGATTGGTTCATGGCTAACTTATCTGCTGGATTCACCCCGGAAGTGGCTAACTAGGAATCTTAGTTTGGCCTTACAGCTTGGGCGCCTTTGGCGGTGGCGGAATTTAAAGATTCTCCAAGGGCTTGATACGACCCTCTCTCAACGGGTTGGCGAGGTAACTTCCTATGTGGAAACGGTGCATGGTGCACTGACGGGTAGTAATAAAGTAGGTGCTTGTGGCTTACGTGAAAATCAGTGGATCTCTTGGTCAGCCCCAACGGCAGATGTGTTGAAGGTTAATACGGATGACAGTTTTATTCCGACGACGGGGATGGCAAGTGCAGGTGGGGTCATTCTTGACCACCATGGGAACTGGGTGCGGGGTCTCCTAATGAATATCGGTTTCTGCTCCATTATTGGGGCAAAGCTATGGGGGTTGTTCCAGGGACTGCAATTGGCTTAGGATATTGGGACCCGAAAATTAAAGTTGAAGTTGACAGCCAAAGTATCATTGCAATGGTTCAGGATGATACCTATAGCGGGCCGTATGGGAGCGTTTTGAAGGAAGTGAAGGAGCTTCTGGGACGTACTTGGTCTGTGGAGGTTATCCATGGATATCGGGAAGCCAATTCTGTTGCTGACTATTTGGCTTCTTTGGCGGCGAAGAGTCCCGGGAGACTACATCGGTTGGAATCTCCTCCGCCAGGGGCGGGAGTATGGTTACATCATGACATGATCGGGGTGTCCTATTTCTAGGAGAGTTCTGAGATAGCTTCATTGCGCAGGCGTTGCCTCCTTTTCATGTACCAAAAAAAAAAAATAATAAAAAAATTACACATACGCATTCTAGAATTTTAAATGGATACAAACATTTATTTTGTTTGTTTAGAGTCTAATTCACATGAAGGAGGGCGTGGAGCTTAAATAACTCGCTCAAAACGTTTTTTAAAAGCTTACGTGATACTATTAGATCGAATAAACCCTTCTCGAATAAATGTTCAGCCACTTGTTACATGATAATGCAAAAAGAAATTGGAAAAAAAAAAATCAATGGTTGTGACTAGAACACTTATTTTTATTGAAACAATACTATAATAAAAACTCAAATTGTGTACTACATGGTAACCAAATAGTTACACCGAGCTGTCTAAATGAGCTCCTTGATGAGGTCAAACACTGACACCGAGCTTAAGCTCCCCTAGACCACTGAAGGCGATCTACCGAGCTTTTGCGAATACTATATCACTTGTCTTTATTAGAATTGTGCTTATAATTTTATTAAAAAAAGATTTCCCCATAATGTTCCTATTTTTTTTTATTGTATAACTATAATACAAAATATGAATATGAGTTGTAAAATAATTTAATATTGCATATTTAGAAAATTTAAAATCTTGCAAAGTTGTTACAGAATAAAATATTAATAAAAATAAGATTTTACTTGTGTAACTGTCAACTAAACATTGGTCATAAATATTTTTATTAAATGAAGTCTTATATTTATTAATTGTTAGCTAAATAAAACTTATTTAAGCTTGACACCAATTATATATATATATATATATAGATTGTTGAAAAGTTAAATATTTAACCTTGTTTCATATAACAAATTAATTCATAACTGATTTAATGGACTAAAATTATTTCAAAGTTATATCGATTAAAAAAATAAAAAATGAAATAGAAGATTAAGGAATTATTAAGAACTTTGACCACATGAAGAAACTAATTATGATACACAAAAATGAAAACAAAAGGATAGAGAAAATAAAAAGACCGAAGGAAAAACAAGAAGAAATGAGGTTCTTACATTTTCCAACAAACAATCCGCATAAGTCTCGATGTCCACAACGTGTTCTCTCTTAGGCCGCTTTGTCCATTTAAATTCTCCCTCTCTTTTTCATCCATCTCCATGACTAAATAAAGACATCTCTCCTCAACCCCACGTCATTTTTCTCTCCAAACACCCAATATTCCATTCTGACATACACAACAATTGATCCATCATGTAAGCTCTCTTCATTCATATTTATTCATACATTTTATATGTTCATTTCATTAATTGCCTTTGATCATGTGTGTTCCGTGCCTTAGTGCGGCTGAAAAGGGAAAGACAAATAAAGAAGCAGACTTTTATTGCTCTAGCTAAGCTTATCATCGAGGATTGATACACTTCAATCCTCGAGGGAGCTAGCAGAGAAATTAAAAAAATATATAAAATAAAAATAATGGCGAATCATGAAGGGTTACAACCGTCCCTCACAAGACGGGCCTCCCGAAGTGCCACCACTACCTTCTCAATGGAAGTGTTCGACAACGAAGTCGTGCCTTCCTCCCTTCAATCGATCGCCCCAATTCTTCGGGTTGCCACTGAGATCCAAAATGAACGCCCGCGTGTCGCCTATTTGTGTATGTTATATGCATGACTCAATAATTCTCATTTTATTTATTTATTTATTTATTTATTTGTGCATCGGAATTTCAAGAAAAAACTAGTGATTATTATTTATTAAGGACATCGTGACCTAATTTTGATGATTTTGCGTATAGGTCGGTTTTATGCTTTTGAAAAGGCACACAGATTGGATCCTCATTCTAGCGGACGTGGTGTGCGTCAGTTCAAAACTAGTCTCCATCAAAGACTTGAAAGGGTAATTGAATATTGTTTATGATGAAATACTACAATTAGCAACTACTTAAGTGCTTTTTTATATCACAATAAAGAGTCTTTGTTATTTAGGCACTTGTTTATTCATCTGTTATTTGATATCAACTTGATTTAGGCTGCTTAGTATATGAGTAAAATAGGTTGCATACGTAATATAGTTCTGAAAATTGGATTGGACCGGCTGATGGGACCCGAAATCAGCCAGTTGACCAGTTCAGTTCGCTGGAACAAACTGCTTGCTGGGGAATTGATATCAAACGTGTTTGTTTCTTTTTTTTTTCTTCTTTGATTCATTTTCAGAAAAATTCATTTTAAAATATTTATACATATTTTTAATATAAATAAAGATGTAAATTTAAGTATATTGAATATGTATAAATTGTAATATCAATTAGTTTAGATATTTAAGTATTTTATGTTATCTAAATATTAAGTTAATAATGAATATATTTAAAAATTATTGTTTAATGTGTTATATATATATATATATTAAAAATATTAAACCACTTATATGCTTAATGACCCACTGCACTTATGGCTCCACCCGTTTATGACCGGTGGACCATTGAGAACCTTTTTATTTTTATTTAAAAACACCCGGAAATGTGGGGGGACCATTGAGAACCTTGATATCAAATGATTGAATACACCTAGAGATGTTAAATGGGCTAGCCCTAGCGGTTTCGAGCTAGCCCTAACGGGCTTCGGGCTAAACGGTTCGGGCCTAAAAAGTCCGGATTTAAACGGGCTACCATAAAAAGGACCTAACCCTAAAACTAGCGGGCTTCGGACTAAACGGGCTATAATAATAATAATAATAATAATAATAATAATAATAATAATAATAATAAATTATAACCACCTAGTTAACGGTTTTTTTCAATGACTATTTAGTATTTACCACTATATATATACAACTACACTTCATATATGAACACACATTACAAACTCTTAAATAACATATTATTTCTCAATAGAAAAAACAATGTTCGAACTATTACTTATAACTACCATTTGACTAGTTATTTCATACGTTTCGGGAATTTGCACAATATAGCATAATGCTGAATTTATATTCTATCAATATATTCTATGTATTAGGTCTTTGTCTCATTTTTTTTTATTAGCCGTTCTGATTGGTTTAAATATTTTGCTGTGAAATAGAATAAAATTTGTTAATAATTATCTATCAAAGCAATATTAATACATTATAACTCATAATTATATGTGAAGTAGAATAGCAAAATTGTAATATACAAGGAATCATGAGACATATTCCTTACCTTTCTAAAAACATATACACCACCCAACCCAAGTAAAATGGGCTAGCCCCGGTTTTCGGGCTAGCTCTAGCGGGCTTCGGACTAAACGGTATGGGCCTTAAAACCCGAATTTAAACGGGCTGGCAATAAAAGGCTCTAACCCTGTATTTTTCCGAGCTAAACGGGCCGGCCCATTGGGTCAAGGACCATTTAACATCTCTAAATACACCGCTAAATACCATTTATTTTCTTATAGAGCAAGTAAAAAGAAAAAAAAAAAATANCAAAGACGATAGAAATCTCATTGAACAAAAATAGTTTACATCAAGAATACATCAGGAACCCATAAAAGTCTAGTATTTAACAATAATCTAGCTAAAAGCCGAAAAATGGGAGAGCCACACGCAGGTGGTCTAGATAAATAAAAATAGCGAAACACTATATAAGACAAAAGAGCAATAGGAAGTAAAGCAGTGAACAGCCACCGAGTCTTTACCCCTGAATGACTAAGTTCAAGGAAAGTATAAGACAGCCCACTGATCTAAGATCCTAGCCTGTCTGCTAAAATATGTTTTATTATTGGTTAGCTAATGGCCTGAAGCTCCCTTCTCTTCAAGAAACTATTCCAGTCTCTGATAGCTCCTTGAACAATTAGGTGAGCAGGCCGTCGGACTCCCTCAAAAACCCACAAGTTACGTGATTTCCAAAGCCACCATAATATGTATGTCGATAATTGAATCCGGGCTTCAGAAACATCTGATTGATCCAGATTACATATATGCCACCACCATAATTTGAATGTTTCTTGATGACCAGGTCCTTCCCAATTAACAGGAGCCAATTTCCAGGTGTGTTGAGCTTGTATACAGTGAAAGAGAACATGCTCGACTGTTTCTTGGTCTTCTCCACATACCCTGCAGATGGTGTTAACTTCAAATCCTCTCAGTTTCAAATTGCAGTTAACCGGCAGGGAACCATTACAACATTTCCATATAAAATGTTTAATTTTTCCCAATATTTCAATCCCCAGCTTCTTTTTCGAACTTTGATATCCCTGGCAAGGTCTGTACTTCCCTGAGCTGTGTCTAGCTTAAGGTATTTTTCTGTTATAAGTTTAGAGTAGATAGAATGTACAGAAAAAATACCTTTTTTATGAAGAGTCCAAACCCACCTATCTTCTTGTTGAGGGTTAAGAGAGGTTATGGTCAGGATTAAGTCATCTGCTGGAAAAGTTCTCCTGACTTTGGCTTCATCCCAGTGGTATCCATCCTCTGACAGTAGATCACAGACCCTGCTAATTCCTCTGTCTATACCTGGTAACAGCTCAACTATCCTGCCCACTCTGTTAGGAATCCGGTGAGTATCCCAAATATAAGTATTCTTCCCATTTCTTATTTCAGTTCTCATCCAATTTCCACAGTCCTTTAAAACAGATAACCATGAGTTCCATAGCCAGGAAGAATTAGGCTTTTTTGTGCTTCAAAAAGAGAACAATTAGGAAAGTACCTTGATTTCAGAATTCTACTAGCAAGAGTGTTTGGTTCTGTTAGAAGCCTCCATAGTTGCTTAGTGATAAGGGCTTTGTTGAAGAGTTGGATATCTCGAAAACCAAGCCCTCCATGCTCCTTAGAGAATGACAGATTACACCAAGCCACCCAAGGGAAACCTTTTTGTTCTTTAGAATCCTTGCTTCACCAAAATTGACAACATACACTGGATATCTCTTTGCACAAACCTGTAGGCAATACAAATCTGGACATAGCATAAACTGGAAGTGCCTGCAAGACAGCTTTAATTAGGATTTCTTTGCCCGCAGTAGAGAGCCACTTATTTTTCCAGTTAATGACTTTACTCCTCACCACAGAAAGAATGTATTGAAATGATTCTTTCTTGGATTTTCCAATTCCTAGAGGAAGACCGAGATATATTGTAGAAGAGTGGGCTTCAATACCATTCATCAAAGAGCAAATTTGATTCCTGACCTGCAAGGGTGTGTTCTTACTGAAAAAAATGGTGGATTTTGATAAGTTCACTTCTTGACCAGTGAAATCCTTATAAGCCTGCAGAATATTCAAAATAAGAGCCACCTGCCTCACATCTGCTTTGCAAAATAGTAAAGTATCATCCGCAAACATGAGGTGGGTTAAAAGTGGTCCCTCCCTAGATAATCTGATACCCTTAAAACACCCTTTTTCAGCTTCAGAGTTCAATTTAGCAGATAGTAGCTCGGATATTATAAGAAATAGGTAAGGGGATAAGGGGTCCCCTTGCCTTATTCCTCTGGTAGCATTAATGTAGCCACAAATACTGCCATTAATATTAACTGAAAATGAAGGGTTGAGAATACAAGCCATGATCCATTTGACAAATTGAGAATTGAACCCCATTCTAAGCATTGTGAGCTGAATAGCTTTCCATTCCAATTTATCAAATGCCTTGATCATATCAAGTTTCAATGACATAAAGTAATTATAGCCACTTCTGTGCCTGTTGAGAAAATGAAAAGCTTCATGACCAATGATTACATTATCTATAATATTCCTGCCAGGAAGAAAGGCGGATTGATTTTCTGAAATACATACATGGAGACACTGCCTCAGCCTCAGGGCTAGAATTTTAGAGATAATTTTGTGAAAGACAGCACATAGACTAATTGGTATGAATTGGTGCACAGCGACAGGATTGAGACATTTTGGTACAAGTGTAATCAAGGTATGTTTCCAGTACCTGAGGAGTTGTCCTGATTCAAAGAAGCTGATCACTGCAGAGCACAAATCAAGCTTAATTATAGGCCAGAAGTGTTGATAGAAGAGGCAAGTCATTCCATCCTCGCCGGGGATTTATCAGGGTGAATGCTAAAAAGAGCTTTTTTGATCTCACATTCTTCAACTGGGGTTATTAGGAGGCTATTCATATCTTCAGTAATTTTTTGTTCTAAGAGAGGCAGAAAGAGATGACCATTTTTGGATCTTTGTGAAGTGTATAGCTGCTCAAAATAGTCTATGATAACTTGCTCAACCTCCCTTTGATTTGTAGTCCATCTATTATCTTCCACAAGAAGTCTTTCAATTGAGTTGATTTTCCTTCTTTGGGCCACATAAGCATGGAAGAACTTGCTGTTGCAATCACCATCCTTAAACCATAATGCCCGAGCCTTCTGCTGCCAAAAGATTTCTTCAGAGGTATTAGCTTCATCAAGCTCTTTTTTGAGTTTTTCCCAAGCCTCCCAATTTCTATTGCCCCCTTCTTTCCTCATTTCTTCCAATTTTAATGACAAGTCTGTGATTTTCCTGGACTGATTCAAATTGAGCTCCTTACTCCAAAGCATAAGAGCTACTCTGGCCTTTTTGATTTTTTCCTTAACTGAGAACATAGGTGTGCCTTGGCAGGGAGTACTCCAAGCATTTGTGATCACATCCTTGACTCCATCCTTAAACAGCCACCTTCTGTCGAAGATAAATCTCCTTTTGTGTTTGGCCTTCACCTCAGAGGTATTAATGATCAGCTGGCAATGGTCAGATGCACTTTTGAATTGACTGCGAACAGTAGTGTTAGGAAATTGGTTCCACCGTTCCAGTGTAACAAAAACTTTATCCAGTGCTTCCTCCACAAAGCCCTCTCACATCCTGTTATTTGCCCAGGTAAATGGCTCTCCTTGTAAAGGAAGTTCAAGCACCCCCATTCTTGCAAGAAAGTTGTTAAAGCCCCAAAAACTGCTGTCTGATCTTGTTCTGCCTCCTCTCTTGTCTTCTTTTCTACACAAATCGTTCCAATCCCCTGCTAAGAACCATAGGTCACCCCAATCTTCTTTAGCCTGAATGAGTTGATTCCACTGAAGTTCTCTTTCTGCTTTGTTTGGACTGAGATATACAAAAACTGCCCAGGCAGATACATTAGTAGCTATAATTTTATACTGTACAGCTATGAAAAAGTCATCATTGGTGATTTTTATAATTTCCATTTCCTGTGTCCAAAGCAAAATGAGCCCCCCACAAGATCCTTTGGGCTCCACAAGGAAATGTCTGTTAATAAAGCCTAATTTTTTGCAAACAGAAACAGAGAATTTTTTTTATTTTTTCAAATTTAATGCAATGTTACGCCCCCTTCCCAGCAGCAATACAGTTTTTGGCTGAACTTGTTTCTTTTGTGCTTTCATCCATTTTTCGCTCTTTACATTTCTGGGAGAACAAAAAACACTCAATAAATTTGCATTCAGGAAAACGCATCCACTCTTGCTTCGCGTGTAAAGAAGACGGATGCTCGAGAAATCGAAAGCTTTTACAAGCAATACTACGAGCACTATGTTGTGGCGCTCAACAAGGGGGAGCAAGCTGATAGGTGATGCTGAATTTTACAGTAATTTCTTCTTCT